TCTGTAAATAAAGCAAAGCCACTTCCTCGTCCGACATTAAACAGAGCCCGACAGAGGAGGGAGGGGCGGGGAGGCTGTTGCCGTGCAGCGCTWCAASAGCTGACCTGCGTCTGACCTCAAAGTGCACAAGCTTCAAACTTCAGCGTTGGCTGCGATGTTGAAGCTGAAATCGCGTTCGGTGTGAACGCAGCATAAGGATACTGTCATGTAGGCCTCATAGCCCACAGTGTTTATGCTTTTGACACGCCCACTCTTGTGACACGCCCACTTTGATTCCAACCCCTTCTGCATAGAATGGCACTGTTTTAGATCAGGGGTTCTGACTGAAAGGAACTGAGCTTCATCGTTCACTGCTGTACAGGTAAGGAGTGGCACAGCTCGCTGTGCGTGTCTCTCACTCCTAAAGAGACATTAGCTTGAAGTAAACTAGTTTCTCTGAGCTAATGGATATTGGAAACAAATGCACACATACTGTGTAAGATATACTGTGTAAGGTCTGTTTTGAGGAGATTTAAGTAAAATAATAATAAAATAATAACAAAAAGATACATATGTACATCAACATAATATCCCCTCTGTAACTCTACTCTTTATTATTAGTGTTAATTTTTATTAATAAAAAAAGTGTTAATTTTTATTAATATAGTACATGCATTACAAATGAACTGAATGATTCACTGAACGAATCTTTTTCACAAATCATTTTAATGAACTGATTCTAATGATTCAGTTCACTAAAATGAACTGTCCCATCACCAGTTCAAAGCAGATGAAGAAGTTCCTCTTCAGCTCTCGATTCAGGGGCGGAGAAAGCCTTTGGCGCTATAAGGTGACTGGATGAAACTAGTTCAAAGTCGACACGCGATTGGTCAATAAAGATGTCATTCAAAAAAGAATGCAAACTTTATTAATGTATATGTTTGTGATAGGCGGGACCTTTATGTGAGTAAAGAGTGACAGTTTCCTCAAGTTTAGTTCAGATCATGTCAGATGCTTTTGATCAGGGAAAGTACAAAAACTATTTATTTAAAAACTAAAACTACGGACCCTCAGTTGACAAAAGTGTAGTTTTTAGACAATCACGAAAGTTAAGCTTATATAATAATAATAATAATAATAATAATAATAATAATAGTAACTAAATATGTTCTAAAGTATAAACAATGTATGGGCAATTTCTAATCCATTACCTTAAACTTAACCAAAATATGGTTTTAACATTCAGTACTATTGAACATTATTAAATATTAAAGCTGAAAAGTGTTTGAGTAGAACTTCTACAATTAATTATTTATTGTTATTATTTTTACCATGTAACTTCTTAAGTAATCATTTTGCCAGAACTTAAACAAAAGTATTTGCAGAAACTCAGAAAGCTTTTAAATCAAATTTAGCAAAGCAGCAGCTGCACATCTTATAAAGAACCAATGACATTCTTAAATTAAACTCTGTTGGCTGAAAAAAAATCTAAATCCGTATTTGTTTTCCAAGATAAAATGATTTTAATAGAAGTTTTATTGTGAAATCTTCCATTAAAATTAATGACATTACCCAGGTAGAAAGTCGCATTGAGCTCAACTATCTCTCCAAACAGATCAATATTTAAATTGCAGATGAGCACAGGCGTCTGCTTTAATCGTTACATATTGAAGCTAATGTATTTTTTCATGCGTATTCATGTGATCAGTAAAATTAATTTGCTAATGGATAAGCAGTTGCATTCAAAGGTGCTTTAAATGTTTTGTACTCAAATTATAAAAACAAAGCAAAACGCACATAAGCTGTTTTGAGTGTTAAATACAGAAAAAATTGTACATAATAACAGATGAGTTAGCACTTCTTCATAAATCCTATGTGAAAGCAAAGCCCTGGCCTTTGCTGTGTTTTCTCTTCTTGTATGAAATCAGCCCATTTCTGATTCCCTCTGCAGAGAGCTGCAATCACGCCTTGCCTTGCTCTCCGCTGTTCAAACACAAGAGCACTTGAAAAACTGATTTCCTGCTCCTCAGAGGGAGCAGGTTTCTTTTGTCAACTGAGGAGCCGGGTCAAAACAATAATTGTTGGCAAATTGGGCCTGAAAATATACGACGCTCGTTTGATTTACATGTCATTTTCATGAGTCCACACTTCAGGCCTCCTTAACTGCTCACAGTGTTACATTAGAGCTTTATCAAATGTTTATGAGGGCAAATCAATTTCATTTCCTGGGTGCAGTTGTGTGTGTGTGTGTGTGTGTGTGTGTGTGTGTGTGTGTGTGTGTGTGTGTG